GCATACAACGGTAACTTACTATTCAACACTGAAGTAGTTTGGTAAAATATTAAACTTTAAAGATGGACATTATAAATTCACTTTTTTGTATCATAATTTTATATTGTATACAATCTTTTTAGAGATCACGTTTTTAAGGCTTTATCCGACCTATTAGAATAGTTTAGATGTATACATAATGTTCTATGTCAAAACACTTGCAATCCTTTTCTTTCCGACTGGATAATTTCAGTCCTGTCAATATATATATATATTTTCACCCACTGATTTGATTTGTATAAGCCTTCAAGCCAAGTAAAATAAAGAGCTTTTTTCATTGTTTGATTGGTGGGATCGGTCTGTGTTTTGGCTTTGAAAGAAGAAAAAAAAAAAACTGTAATTGAGTTAAGAAAACCGAAGCAATGACAAAAAAATAAAAAATAAAAAATAAATAAATAAAAAAATAAAAAAAAAAGTTACTGTTCTTTGTAGCGAGATAGAAAAAAATGATTAGGAGATAGAAACACCAGCAGGCCAAACATCCACAAGAGGTTATGAGGTAGAAATCATTTTTATCATGGTCCAAGACCCAATGACGGACGACAACGCGCCAGCATACCCCCTATGCTGCAGCGGATTGGCGATTCCTTCTGTAATAAGATCACATTCATATTAACAACAGTGAAACCAATTGCAATACAAGCCACAAGAATACCGAATGCATTTTTGGCATGTGGTTGGTTTTGAATTCAAAGCAAACTTGAACGGCGATCCCTCAGATCTGAAATCCCATAGCTATGGCTGCACTGAAATTTGGTGACTAGGAGCGTCTTCGACAGCTTCAGTAAGTTGTCGCCACCACTACGTCTTCTTCTGTGTCAGAATCTCAAACCAAGATCGAGTCTTAGCCCGAGCTTGAGTCTGACTTCCGAGTCCGAGTCTGATTAGTCGTGAGGTGTTTGAAGGATGCCTGATTTTGAGTGTTCCCAGCTTCTTGCGTTCTGTATTTGTGTCAACAGATGGTTGTTGTGGGCGGTTGCAAGGTGGTTGGGTTGCCGAACGGACTACCATCACAGAAAATGGTGATTGGCATTTGAATTTCATACCTACAAGGTACAAACAAAGATTATCAGAAAAAAAGACCATGAAAATCATTGATGAATTTCAAAAAAATAAAAATAAAAAATATGGGGATTTCTGGCGATAACTAAAATCACCCTGCAATAAAGTTTTTTTTACTGAATGGAAATCACCAAGATGAGGAAACGTTGCAGCCACGAAACCTACAGCACTCTGCATTGCATATGGAACCAATATTTTATTTTTTTCGGTCTTTTGGTGGGGCAAAACCGGGATTACTTTTCTACTATTCATATAAACTATTGGGGAAGACAAATGAACACATAAATAAATAACTACATTTCACGGAAAGAAAATAGAAGACTGATACAAGTAAAAAAAAGGGAAATATCAATAGGGATTGCGTTTGCGAAAAAAAAAAAAGGGAAAATAAATACTAGTGTTTATGAACTATCAACAACAATGAGAGAGAGACGGAGAGAAGAGAGAGAGGAGAGAGAGACGAGAGAAAGAGAGAGAGAGAAGAGAGAATGAAATCAATGAATGAATAAGGGAACAAACACTATATAATGAAAATGATGAGCCATACACCTTTTTTTTTCTTTTTTCTTTTTATTCTCTTCTTTTTATCATGAAATTCATTTTATTTTTATTTATTCATTTATTTATTTTTGACCTTACAAATTGCACTATTTTGTGTTGTTGGACTTCTAAATGTGTATTGATAGACTATGGTTGTCTAGTCAAACGTAATTCTCCTCGTATAAAGTCTCAGACCCCAATTGAAAAACTAAAAATAAAATATAATAATTGAGTTAGGAAATGCTTAATTTTATAAAACTTTTTAAGAAATGCAATGACTCAAAATTTTCTTATAACTACATAAATATTCAAATCCAATTTAAAGGATTATTTTTTATTCAAACAGTATTTTTTTTTTTTTTTGGGGGGGGGGGGGGGTGTTTAGACCGATATGCTTGTCCCAACAAATGACACAACGAATTTTTTACTTAGGTACTTATTATAGGTTTTTGAATTGTGAATTGTGAAGGGATGACACAGAATATGAGAATGCTATGTTCTATTGGGGGGGAAAGATTGATGACAAAAGTGTGTCTTACAACGGCCATGTGAAGAAGTTCTGTAAGGTGAAAAAGGGGATAACATTGCACGAGTTGGGGGCGATGATCATCCCCAAGGTGGCCCCGAATGGAAACGTGCAACTGGAGTTCAAATGTAGGTTCCCATCTTGGGAGTCCATAAACGATGTGAAGTATGAGTTGGTACCAATCGACAACGATGAGGATTTAGCTTTCGTCTTGAATCAACCGAAAAGCTCATGGTCAAAATATACTTTGCAATTTTATGTACATGCAAGAAATAACACCTTTGCCGACCAAGACATAACACCTTTGCAAGAAATAACACCACATGTGGACTGGGACGAGAGCATGATGGGCAACATAACCTCGTCTGTGTAGTGAACTCAATAATATTTTCCAACTACTCTTTAATTATATGGGTAAGTTATATTGATGTCCTTTAGAATTTTCATAATTTCAGGATCCTCTCTCTTGTTGATGTTAATCATGTTGGAAAACTTAACCAAGGGGTTGCTGAAAGGCCTTGGATTTCACTCTTAGAAATAGAATTGGTTGTTAAATTTAGTTTAATGTCTAAATAAATCTCTTCAATCTGTTTTACATAATAGAAATAGGTGAATGATTTAAATTAAAAATAAATTAAAAGAGTTTAAATTGACAAAATACTTAACAGAAATAGGCTTCTTCTTTTTCTTTTTTTTTGTGGTAATTTTCTCTATTTGTTTTTACTATTTAAATTTTAACGATATTATTGTCCACGCATTATATCACACTAACCCTTTTTTATTTTTTTATTTTTTATGCAGATGTGAAGATTTTGCTGCAATGAGGACATGTAGATGCATATGGCAGGAAACTCCAAGAGTTGGACAAATGGTCAAAGTTTGGGATTTGGAAGTGTATTATTTTCATAATTTCAGGTTTGAAATCTATTAAATGCAAATAATATATTGGGGTTAGGCCGAGATATGAGACTTTGCCTCAAAAAGATACATGCATAAAACACGAGTGGATTTATCTTTACAAATAATTTATTTTACTTGTTTGTTTTTCTTCTATTGATTGGAACAAAATGCAAAAAACTTCAAATATTCACTAATATTATTTTTGTTCTACTTCTTTTATGAGCCAATTGAATATATATTTAGATTTTTATTATATTTGAGTAACAAGTCCTCTAATATATGCATGTATTGGTCCGTTTGACAACTTTCCCTCAAAAAATGATTTAACCAAAAGACCAAACTGACCCTACCAATCTCTCTCTCTCTCTAAAAACCTCCTTTCTCGGCCTCTTCTTGGGCTGGCCGGCCGCCGCCTCTGGCTATGGCGGTCGGCTGGCCTAGCTCATTTCGGCGTTTGTATGTTAGTTTCTTCTTTCAATAAACTTGAGCCTCCCATTTTCCCCACCTAGGTGTGTTCTATGTTTGTTGCGGGAGAGATTTTTTTTGTGGTGAGTCGGGGGTCGTCCAGGTATTTCTTCAAGGGCCGACTAGGTTTGTCATCAGTTGTCTTCTTGTGTTTCAACCTTGCTCGCTATAGCTGATTCATCAGGGGTCATCCAGGGATTTCATTCGAGCGCTTTTTTGCGAGTAGGAGCTTGAGGGGTGCACTCTGGTTCAGATTGGTGGAGAAGTATCAATGCCCTGTTTGGGAGGAAACTTGGGTGTCGTAGGCGATCCAGTTCTATCCGGTTTGCACTCGAGCGCTCCTCTTCGAGTGAGAGTTTGAAGGGTGAAATTCTTCCATTTGTATGGAGGTGTCCCAGCGGGTGGTCGATGTTCGGTGGGTGTGTGGATCCGCAGTGTGAGTTAGAAGAAGATCTGTTGGTTTCAAAGATATTCTATCAGCCTCAGTCGAGGCAATGCAATTGGTCGGAGAGGAGTTCGTCGGAGAGGAGTTCTGGAACTTCCACCACCACCACTGGTGAGGAGTTGCAACAACATGGAGCTTTCTGATGTTGGCTATGGAGTTTGGTAGCAGCATAGGCGTGGGCTGCAGCAGAGGCATAGGTGTGGGTTTTGGGTGTGGCAGTAGCATAGGCGTGGTGTGGGCAGTAGTATAGGAGTGGTTGGGGTGGGCTTTGGGAGTTGCAATAGCTGAGGTGAGGTGTGGGCTGCAATAAAGGCATGGTGCGAGCTGCAGCAACATAGGTGAAAGTTTTTAGTGTGGTAATTGGGTTGATTAGAGGTGTTTGGTGGGTTGATTTTGTGGGGATTCTTGTATTTTATTGTCTAGTTAAGTTCTTCTTAACTTTTTTGTTTTCAAAAAAAAAAATTGTGAGGTCAAGGGGTTGGTTGTATGGATGCGAGTAGCAGTAGTAGGGGTATTGTTATACTTCTGAACCTCTCTCGAAGCATATTGTCTTCCTATACCTTTAATTTCATGCTGTTAATGAAATTTTTCTTCGCTGATCAAAAAAAAAAAAAAAAAAATAAAAAATAAAAAAATAAATAAATTATAAATAATATATTAAGATTTATATATGAAAACTATTAGGATTGTATATATTTATTTAGAAGATATTAATAATTAAATTTACGCTGAGACTCCAATTGTTAGCTGGGTAAATGTACCTAAGAATTTTAATTCTTTTATGATAAAAATCCATCATGAGAGATATTTTGACTAGAATATTTTTTATAGTGATTGCCTTTCGTAGTCCTTGTTGTGCAATTGTGATTGAGTGGGGAGATTAATGGAAATATAATAAGTTTAAGTTACCTGTACTAGTTTTTTCATATTCGTATTTTTATTTTTAATGAGTGTACGCTTTATTGATATTGAATATTTGTTAAATATGTAGTACACATCGATGTAGTTTATTCAATTAACTTTTGTTAAGAATAAGATTTCTTTTTATACAATCAAAAATTAAATACTCCTTCGTCTCAAAAATAATGGTTTTTTAGAAGAATCTAAATTTTTTTATAGTATAATATTTTATAACTTAAAAAAATTTAAATAATGAACTTCCTTAATTTTTCAAAATTATCATTTGTCGGACAAGTTCACATTTTTCGTTTTTGTATGAGATGAGAAACTAAAAATATCTAAATATTCTGTATCATAATCTGAGTAGCTCTGCATCTTTGTCGTAGTTGAAAATTGGAAATAATAGCAATAAAGCTAGAGCCACGCAAAAAGGAAATAATATCAACGTAAATGGGATTTATGTTTTACTTTCCTTGGTCTCTAATTTTTTGAAAACATGCGAGACTAATACGATCTTTGGATTTAATTCTAAGATGTGATCCAAAACACACTAATTTTTCAGTATATGAGGAGCGTCTTAAGTATGAACACCTATGTCATTACACACAATGTCAGTCATATAACACACAAAAGATCAGAAATAATATTGTT